AAAAATATTTTAAACTTTGTGTGCCATGTCTTCCACTCTTTTGCTAAATTTGTAGCCTTAAAATCCATCATTGGCAAAGCGGCCGCAATTTGGTGTTTTTCCTCCATTCTGCTCTTTAGTGTTTTTTTTAGGTTATAATTGAATTAAGCACACCTGACACCATGTTAAGAAAATACGTCTTCTTCCATTTGTATGCACAACCAAAGTGAATCCATTTATTATGTTTTATATAAACTATAACTATGTTGTGATTATTATCATACATAGTGGTAAGTAATTACAAACAGGGTAATTCATGTTACTTAAAACTATTAACATATACAACAGGGGCAAATGTCAGAACATAAATTTTTCCCTTTCGCTATTTACATCGACTCTATTATCAATAGCATTGCGGTCTCAAATTGACATTCATAAAATTGAAATAACTATTGACCTAATTGCGATTTTTGGAGAATTTAAAAGGTTCAAACCCAGTGATTGTCTGTGTGGAAAATTACATTCAAAATTCATTGGATTGGTTCGAAATATCTCAACACGTTTTCAAATTATTTAATTTTTATCAAAGTCTTGATTTTTTGTTACGCTCTGCCTATTGTGCGTCATCTTTTGATGTAGTATGTTAATAATAATTTCGATATCTGTTAATAATAATTTCGATATCTGATAATAAATTTATAAATATGAAAATTTATATACGAAATTTTGTTTAAAGTATATTTTTAAAAATTAAACCATTTAGAGGTTTTTTTATAATAAAAGTTGTCGATACTATAATAAAGACATTTAGCCCATTAATATGACACCTTATTTGTGTTAATAGAGGAATTCGTTAAGAAGTTTGAGGCAATGTAAATTTATAATTCTAAAGAAACAAGTGTCAGTCTGGAGCCAAATCACCGAATTCGTCATCGAGTTCTGTTTTGTATAGAGAAACATTTCGATCTTTGTAATTTTTTGGATCACTGCATTCGATAGTAATTTATTTTGTCTACTACTTTTTTACATTGCATATCGCTCATTAGCTGCAATACCGACATAAATAAAAAAAATCGTTATTTTTGAGTTAATAATGCAGAATTGTTCCCTATATCAGACTTCATATTGTGTAAAAAAAATCAGATGATTATATCATACACACTCTAATTGAGAAATTGTAGAAGGTCCTCTGTTCCAAATAAAGTGCGAGCATTTTCTGCAAAATCGATTTTTTTATTTATGTCGGTCTTACAGCAAATGAGCGATATGGTGATAAGAAATTGGAAGCGATAGAGAATATCAAAATAAGTTTTTGTGATCAAAATATGTTATTTCTTAGAAATTTATATCGTTTTTGTGTGTTAAAAATTAATAAGGAATTTAGTTTTGTTGTCAATTCGCACCACAAATTTTGCCTCTTTAATTTTGCTTGAACTGAGCGTTTCATTTTTTATTTTTCTTAAATTTATTTTTTCAAAGTAAATACTACTTACATTTTCACCAACTTCTTGTTCCTTTTTTGTTTACCTTTTTTTCCGCGCAAAAATCCCAAGTATGTAGTTTTGCAGAGGTTAGTATGTGGGGGACCATTCCCGGACTAGCAGGCTTGTGGAGCAATTGTTGGGAGGGGTGAGATGCATGGTGGCTACCAATATCGTGTGATGTTGGTGGTCACTTTTGCATTGTATCCCCTTTCAGCGATTGTTTCATTGTAGAGAGCCTGAGTGTTAGTCCTAATGGTAGTAGCTTTGGCTATGAAGCTGGGCACAGGCTATAGTCTGTGAGTGGCCAGTCTCGAACTGTTTGGGGTTCTACTGGTAAGAGCTTAGGCTATGAACCTGACCAAAGGTTTCGGTAGCACGTGTGTCAGGGCCCCTAGGTCTGCGGATCTAGCCTGGCAGTTGGTGTTGGCCCCTCGGGGAGCATCGTGCTGGATGTGATTTATACCCATATCGCGGGTTGAGCTGTGGCTCGGTGTGGAGTTGCATTACAACTGGGTGCCTGACCCATTTTTCTTTTCAAGCCTTATTAAATTTTTTATTTTATTATTTTTGGTTCCTTATAAATTTTAACTAATAGGTACATATGTAACCTTTAAAATGAATATACATATGACATACTTTAAGCTTGAAAAGGATTTCACAACCAAATCCTCGGATTTGGTGTAGTGGTCCACCAAATATCCCCTTTCACCTTCCATAAAGTAGCAGGTACCGAGGGAACCCTTCATTTCATTGTCCGTATTAAAAAAACACATGTTTTATAAACTTTTGTATATTTTGTAAGTTTTTCTTCATTTATTTCATTGATCCGGAGAAGAAAAGGAAAAAAACAATATAAAATATTTGCGCATTTCATTCAACAAGTAATTAAATAAAAAATATACAGATTATATGCTTAAAAACTATAATTATAAATTAGATTTGTATGTTTGCGTTATTCTTTTTTTCAATTAAAATTAATATTTTTCTTATTTTTTCGAATAAGAAGCAGAAACACCATACATTTTATTTGTTATTTTATCCTTATTAACGAATTGGAACCTTTGCCCTAAAAACACTTATGTCGGTGATGGAAAATAGCACAAAGAGAAGGAAATAAAATATTATTTATATATAGTATATGGAATATAGCATTGTATATAAAATAAATACATAGCAAGAAAAATACCTTGACATAAATAATAATAGTAAAGAAGATGGATAAAAGAGAAAATGCATTTCCATTTACATGTGTGTGTGTGTTTATAGAAAGAAGAATAGGGAATAAAACAAGGAGATTAAAAATATGTTAACAAAAATTAAGAAAAAAATAATAACTATACCAAACCAAATATAAGGAATTGAATAATATGTTAATTGTGATTACTGTTTGTTGTTTGTGGTAAGGGTTTAAAAATAGGTATTTTTGGAATATTGTAATAAGCCATAGCAATATATTTCTCTGAATTTGTTAGTTCTTGAGACAATATCTGAGGAATAAGTAAAAGCAAATTTATAGATTTTTTTTGAACAGTTTCCGTTTCCTATTTTTACTATTTTTTGTTTGTTTACTTTAACAAATTGTTTTTATATACTGTTTTATAAAATGAATATTAAATAGTATTTTTTGTCTCAATTATTTTTTTTTTACAAAAAAAAAATTCATATACACAATATATAGTTAAGCATTTTCTTAATTTTAATATTTTGTCTTTTCTTCATCAAATGCCTAGATATTGCGTTTGGTTTTTGTTTTCTATAAATGTAACAATTTTGAGTTCTTTTTTCATTGTGGTTTTTGAATTCTTGCAATTTGAATTAAAATCCAAAAATAAAAGAGCAAACAAAAAATATGTTTTTTTTGTAATTCGATTCGAATCGAATTGGTAATTGTATTTTATAACGCCACCAACCATCTCTGGTAATTGTGCATTTTAAAATTGGTTTCGTTCCCACATTTTCCAACTGCCAACATGATCTACATTTATTGTATTTTGTTATATTGTGAAGGGAAGTTTTGTGAATAAAAAATGTTATTTAATAAGATCATAATTTAAAGATTTTGAAATAATAATCATAAGTAGTTTAATATTTTCTAATGGAAAATATTAATCGGATTATTCGAATAACAGTTTTTTTTAGAAAAATATCCTGATAAAAATGTCAACACCAAAATAATTATTTTTCGAAGTCTCATATTTGGAAACTGTCAATATGACAGCAGCTTTGATTAAAAAAAAAAAAATGCTAGACCTTCTGTTGGCATCTAAAAAGAAACATTATTTTTTGTCATCATTGTTGTTATTCTCCTTTGTTTGCCTTTCTTTTCTTTGTAAAATTTGATTCTATTTTGTACTTTCAAATAATGCCAAAATATGACTAGATCTTATTAAGAATCGTGTTGATGCACAAAAAGAACGGCAATCATTTTCAAACATGCCAAAATTTTTGTAGAGATGGTGTGGTTGAGGCTAGTTATTTTTGTTTTTTTAGAGGTGGTTATTATTTTGTGTATTGTAATTTACATTGACAATTCTATTTACTTAGTTGCAATTCTATTTACTTAGTTGTTTGCTAATGCAAAGCAAACAATTGCAAAAAATATATATTCAAATTTGTTCATTTAAAAAATATTTACTCATTTTTGTCGGGTCATTGTTTGTTTTCTTATTTTGAATATAACCCTGGCATGTGGAAATTGTTTTTGTTTTTTATCTATTTCAAAATATTGTTGTTGTTCTCTTTTTTTAACATTACACATTAGTTTTGGTATCTTCATTTCTTCATACAAATTTGTATTGTTGTGTTTTAATAAAAAATATATTAAATTATTTCTTTCAGTTGTTGTTCTGTTTGTTTGTTTTTTTTTTCAATTGTTACAATATTTTACTTTTGTTGTTTTAGCAAAAACAAAATTTATTATATGAAGGACATTTATATTGGATTTTTTTTTGTTCTATGGTGAACATTCCATCTCTTTTTTTTAACAAAAAACACTTATTATTCCATAATAATCTCGTACACATTATATATATTATTTATATAATAAAATGTGTTTATGAGACTCCTCCAATATAACCCCTTTTTTAAAAGTGTCCTTCATACAGTAAATTGTTTTGCAATTTGTAATCGGAATTTATTTTCTTTAATTTTTGTCATTTTATTTTGTTCATGTTGTTCCTTTTGTTTTTGTGAAGAATAGTTTATAGTAAAATATAGACTTGTATATAATTCAAATATATATAAAACAACTATTTTCTTTTCTTATAAATAGCTGTAATAGGTAATTGTTTTTGTTTTGTCGACAAGTTGGAATTAAACTTTCTATCGTTTTGTTTTTCAAATTTTTCCATTTAGAGCAGAAATCGACTGTAATTTTATAGTGATTTTTTGGTTGTTTTTTGTTCAATTTGTTCATTTTTGTTTAGGATTTCTAAATAATTAATGTTAAATGAAAATTAAATTAAAAATACATATTTTAAATAAAATAAAAACAATATCCCCTGATTAAATAGGTTAGGTATATTTTCTGGTTTGTTGGGTCATTTATTGGTCTTTTGTTTTACGCAAATGAATATCATTTTCGGCGTTCGTTGATGTCAAAGGTTTGCTGCTGCTACTAGTGGGCATAGTTGTGGGCCTCAATTTTGCCGAATTTTGGGCAACCAACGATGCAGCCATACGCCGGCTCTTGCCGTCGGGTGACAAATATGCCTTATAGAAGAAACGGGCAAACAATACAAAATAGCTGAAATACATGGCAATCGATAGATTAATATTGGTCTGTGAAATATTGCAGGATTGGGGTCCGTGTGTCTTCAGGAAACCATGGGCCCACACATTTATGGCACAGCCAATTATCATTTGGGTCAGCTGCAGTGAGGTGATGATCATGGCAATGAATCGTGGTGGATTGAAACGGGCCGCCTTCAGGGCATAGTAGGAGTACATCACGGAATGTACACAATAGTTCATGACAATAAACCAGCGGGCCGATGAGGTATATTCGGTGTATGAGAACCATGAATAGATCAGCACAGTAATGTGGTGGTACCAGTGCAAGAAGATCAGCGGCTGTTTACGCAACACAATGAATATGGTATCGCCTAATTCGGGTAATTTGGAGAGTACAAATAACCATGTCCAGAAGCCGCAGACACGATCTTGTTCTATGTAACTGTAAAGAAAGAAATATGTAAATATGACATAGGTGCCCAAAATTAAAATGCGTTAGTATGTGTGAGAGAAAACAGAACAGTACTGAACAAAATTGTGTGTACATTTTTGTGGTCGGAAAAAATTATTGATGAATTTAATTTTTTTATTATATAAATTAAAAGCATTATTGAACATGTTTGTATATGAATAACAAATTGTATATGTCACGAAAATCAAATAAAGTTTATAAATTAACATATACTGAGATAATAATCATATTATAATATTAAATATTAATATTAAATATTACGATAATTATCAAATATTTATTTCTTTAAAAAAAACAGGAATTGTTCTGTTGTTTTTAAACATACAAAACGCATTTTTAATAATGAAATAAAAATCCAAAATATACTGAACACTTTTATCCCTAAGTGTTATTTCGTTGATTTTCTAGTTGTGCGGACACGCCGTCGTGCGCGCACCCTTGCATGTGTTCATTCGTTGGCTGTCAAACAACGACTGACTGAAAGAGCATAACAATGCGTGTGAGTAGGCAGCTACTTTAAAGTATACTGATGGGCTTCATTGAAATATGATAAATTTAAATGGAATAATTATTAAGTAGATGATGAGGGATCTATAGTGCGATAATGTGTCATTTTATAACGGAATGGAATAAATAAATAAATAATATAAATAATAACCGATTGTGATTTAGTACAAATCATGGCCTATAAATAAGGTCACCAAGATAGCAATCGAAATCGGAAAACAGCTGTTTTTTCTCAAGTCTAATGCCAACGTTTTCATAATGGACGTCAATTCACAATAATGCATTTTGACAGCAAACTTGAGAGGTATCGATAATCAGCTGGTCTCTCTTGGTGACCTTATTTATAGGCCACGATACAAATCAAGATCTATTAATAAGGTCACCAAGATAGCAATCGAAATCGGGAAACAGCTGTTTTTTCTCAAGTCTAATGTCAAAAATTTCGACTTTGTTTACGTTTTCATAATGGAAGTCAATTCACAATAATGCATTTTGACAGCAAACTTGAGAGGTATCGATAATCAGCTGGTCTCCCTTGGTGACCTTATTTATAGGCCATGGTACAAATCAAGATCTATTAATAAGGTCACCAAGATAGCAATCGAAATCGGAAAACAGCTGTTTTTTCTCAAGTCTAATGTCAAAAATTTCGACTTTGTTTACGTTTTCATAATGGAAAACAATTCACAATAATGCATTTTGACAGCAAACTTCAGAGATATCGATTATCAGCTGGTCTCCCTGGGTGACCTTATTTATAGGCCATGGTACAAATTAATTAATCCGATTAACCCTTTTAGTCATGATCAAGATCTATTAATAAGGTCACCAAGGTAGCAATCGAAATCGGAAAGCAGATGTTTTTTCTCAAGTCTAATGTCAAAAATTTCGACTTTGTTTACGTTTTCATAATGGAAGTCAATTCACAATAATGCATTTTGACAGCAAACTTGAGAGGTATCGATTATCAGCTGGTCTCCCTGGGTGACCTTATTTATAGGCCATGGTCACGATCCAATAATAAGGTCGTCCGATAAGGCCAGATGATTTCACCCGAGCTGTCAAAATGCTTTCGATTCTGACTAAATTGTGTGAAAACGTAAACAAAATATTTGACAGTATGGGGGAGGGATTTTACTACAAAATAGTCGATAACGATTGCTTCTGACACGACCTGTTTATTGGATTATGCTTTCAGTGTTTTTGTCGAATATATTCGACATTTAAATGTACTCTCTTTCTTTATCCTGTGTACCGTTACTATTGATGTTTTTGTTTTTGCTGAAAGACAGACGAAACTGACCGAGGGTTAAAATGACAATTGCTATTTTTTTCTAAACTATGTCCCTTTATATGATTTTAAATTAAAAATTTTAGATTTTTATTCCGACAAAAATTTTTGTTGACACTGAAAGGGTTAAATTCAAAGTGCATAGCATGATGCAATGATAAGGTGATGACAGATGTCTCGGCTATCTATCAAATTTTTCCTTATAATATTTCAAATGGTTGGCAACATTGCACTTCGAATTCAAGTAGAAATTACGCACTTTGACAGTTAATCGAGTCATCAGCCTATTTATTGTACCATGCTGCTTAGCTTCTACTTGAATTGAATTCGATGTGCAATATTGCCAAGCATGAGAAATATATTAGCGAATGTGGGATGTATTTAAAACCACCCTATATCGACCATTATTAAAATTTTAGAACCATTTAGTACCATAGTATGTTCTCAAATATACCTCTGTATCTGTATTTGGTGTAATTTTTTACCATTTGTACTCTTGTTATACTTATTTTGAAAAAAAAAAAATCACTCAAATCCAAATTGAGTATCAGTTAGTGCACATTAATATAAAGTTCCATAACTACCTACTTTAGCAATGATAAGTACGAATTTCCAACACTTCCCACATACCCCAATCTTAATTCCAAATTTCAGGATTCTATCGGTTCATTTAAATCCAATTTGTATCACATTTAGTACCACTTAGAACACATAAGTAAAAATTTCCATTACTACCTACATCATGCATTAAAATTGAAATCATGAATTAGATAAAATCTTAATTATAATCCAAATAGTATCAAATTTAGTACACAGTAGTACGAATTTCCAAAACTTCCTACTTAACCCAAACAAACACTCCCACAGGGATCCTAAATCCAAGTTTCAGGATTCCAACTCTATTGGTTCATCCACAATTCAAATTGTAGCAAATTTAGTACATAGTTGTACCAATGTCCAAAACTTCCTACACCCCCACAGTCATCCTAAATCCATGTTTCAGGATTCCAACTTTATCGGTTGACCCACAATTCAAATTGTACTAAAGTTAGTACACAGTAGTACAAATTTCTAAAACCTACTACATATCTCAAGCTTACACCTCAACAGTGATCCTGACTCCAAATTTCGTGATTCTAGCTCTATTGGTTTACCTAAAATTCAAATTTAGTACCATTAGGACCCATAAGTATTATTTTCTTAAACTGAATCCTGACCCTAATCCTACATCCCTACAATGATCCTAACTCCAAACTTCATTGTTCCAGCTCTATCGCTTCACCCTAATCCAAATTGTACCAATTATAGTACGATTTAGTACTTTTTGTACACATAAGTAAAAATTTCCAAAACTACATACATATCCCAATCCTACACTCCGACGGTAATGTTAATTTCAATTTTCAGGATCCCAGCTCGATTTGTACCTCCAAATCGAATTTGTACCAAATATAGTACTTTTCGTACACATGAGTACACGCTTTCCAAACTCTTCCATATCGACCCTACCCCTCAACGTTATTTTACATTCCAAATTTCAAGTTTTTAACTCAATCCATTCACATGCTACGAAATTGTACCAAATTTAGTACATTTTCGTACTTTTCGGATAGTTATAGTTCGAATTTCCAAAAACCCTTTAGTACATCTATCCTACAGTCAATCAACGACCACCAACCCAAATTTCAGAGTTCTAGCTCCACCGGTTCGCCAAATACAAATGTTATCACATTTAGTACTTTTCGTACCGTTCTAGTACGAATTTCCAAAAACCCAGCCTTATCCGTCACCTTTGGACCAAGAGTGACCCTCACCCAAAATTTCATGATTCTAGCTTCAGCCGTTTCGTCTTGATTCGTTTGATGAATCGTTAAATCAGTCAGTCAATCAGTCAGTCAATCACTTTACTCTTTTATTAGTATAGATAAAATTTGACAGATGGTCTGTTAATAAATATTCTTATCGGACCAATTTTAGTAATAGCCCCCATATAACTGCAGGCCAAATATTCAGTATTTTGGTAGGGTGTTTAACCGAATCGGCAGTAATGTGGCTGTAATTTGAATTTTTATTAGGTACCAAATCACCCTACATATAAAATCAATTATTTTTTTTGTGGGTTTAGTACATATTTTTCATCAATCTAATATGATCAATACAATTTTTTCCAGTGTGGGTGTTACCAAATGCATTTCAATTTTTCAATATAATTATATCGAACGTTTGCCAGTTTAAATATGGGTTATTAACTATTTATAAATGATGATTAATTATTTTCATTTGTGTTATAATATAATTTTCTGCGTAACCCCTATTATTGCAAAATTGTTTGTTGTTGTTGTTATCTAATAATATTTGAGGGGTTAATAAATAACAATACAGTGTTTTGAAAATGAAAAGCAATGTGGGTAATATTAACAAATTGCCTTGAATCGGTTGGAACTGTTATATGGGACATATAACAAATCATGATATAGGGGCCAATTTCTATAATAAATCTAAAACATTTCGAACCCTCAAATAATGACCATCATTTGTGGAAATTTCGTGTAAGGGATTTGAAAATTACTAATGTTTGGCTTTCTTCATAGTGAAACAAAATTTCAAAGATTAGCCCAGTGGAAGTTAATGATATTATTCATTGTTTTCGAAATCCAAAATCCTTGCAATTTGGAAGTTTTTTTTTTGTTTGATACCGTTTTTTAAAATGTTTTGAAAATAAAAAATGTTTTCTTTGTTACATGTTTTGAATGTCAATATACAATTCCAAATCTTATACCAAAGACAGACGACAGCCTTAATTTGCATTAAATAGTTCTTAATTTGAATTAATATTTACCCCTGACAGACGAGAGTTTCTGCATTTATGAGCCAGTTTTTTTGTTTCAAAACTATTGTTTGTCTGTGTGTAGGAAGAAAATATGACATTTTTTACAATATTTTTTAGGATTACATCTTTATGAAAACGATACACGACAGACAGGGCGAATAACAGCTGTATATGATAAAACAAGCTCGAGGGAATGTTGTATTTTGCCTTTATTTCTAATTTTTATTTTCATAAACGTAAACAAATTTGACAATAATCAATTTATTTTCTACAGCATTGCCATATTGAAATTGCTTAATTCATATAAATTCAGTTTCATTTTGTGCATTTACAACACATAAA